CACCCTGTATTTTCAGATATGATTGTTAGAAAACCAATCCTCCAGTGAGAAAATCGTCACTTTTTGGTAGCGCTCGCCAAGCCTACTAACAGTTGTATCAGTTGACTTACAAAAAAGATAGCTATAATATGATCTGCAGATAAAAAGGTGAATTACAACATTGATAAAAAATGTAATTGGTGTAAGTACGAAATTTAAACGGTTCCAAGCGCTATTCGATGTGAAACATTATTGCCAGTTGACGGTTTGCCTAAGTTTTAGCTTAAAAGGTAATAACTTAATGTAATTACAATAATCAGGTCAGTTTTCTTGAAGATTCCGGAAAGACTACCACCTCCCGAAAGCAACCACTTTGTCGAGCACCAAGGATGGTCACTTAGGAGAGAGTTGACTGTACTTTAAAATAGAGCTAAAATTAATCTGGCAGTAGGAGTCACTCTTTCGCCACTTATCATACATTTGCACGCCATCATATTAACAAACCAAGTAAAAACCTCATGACCGTACTCACTTGGTATACCATCCAATGTAGTATATATTTTGTACAAAAATAACAAAGTATTTTTTTTGTTGTTGAAGCCTCCAAACTTTCTCTCACAGTTTTCGTTCTTGAAAACAAAACTCCCTTGCAACGACAGCTTATACAGACAATGTTTTTTTTTTGCCTATGGCCATTCAAAACGTCTCATTTGCGTTCGGTTTGTCTTTTTCCATTTTTTCTACATCCTTTGTGTCTTGTCTTTGTCTTTTTTGGGGAATGGGGTCATCTCAATTAATTTGGGATACAAAGGGGGGCCACCCAAGCAAACTTCTAATGAAGAGGCGGGGTGGTCATCAAATTATAGAGAAGCTACCCGTCAAATCCCACCAGCCCCCTCCCCGCCTCCCCCATAAAAAAAAAAATGAACGGTCCCAAACTGTAAGAAACGAGAAGACTTACTTTGGTCGATGACTCGCACCAAAAGTAGCGAAAAAGAGCGATCTAAGAGCAGCAAATGTATTATGATAACAACTCCAATTATAGCAATAGTAGTAGTTTTACCTTTGCTGTGTGTCGTCTTTTATAACTTACAGATGCTACGTGCATTATGCTTAGGGCATTAACTAAGTAAATTTGTTCTTATAGTTCGCGTTTATTTATAGAAAAAATATTAATTGATGGAGATCATGCATTGAAATAATACAAAAATGTATTAATTATACTAAAAAGAGTCCAATATTTTATTTACTTATTTGTTTTTTAAATCAATATTTTTCCAGATGCATTCAATTTAGCAGAGCTAATTTAAATGGATCCCTGACGCAACACAAAAAAAATACATTAAAACATTAAAACTAGATAAATAATTAAGTAGGCAACATGTACCGCAGGCGTTACTGTTTAAAATGGCGCTTAAGCTTGATTTTAAATTCGCTGAGCGTCTCTACTTGTCTAATGATTCTCGGAAGGGTGATGTAGGTCCGAGCACCGTTTATTCTTATTTTTGCGAAGGGAGGGCGCAGCAAATCCCGGCTCAGTCTGGTATTATATAGCCATGTGTAGCCAGGAAGTTTAGTGCAAAGATCACTGAATGTAATCATAATCAGTGCATGACACCATAAAAGGAGAAAAAGCAAGAGAGAAAAAAAAACTGCTGTAATATCGGGGCACAATTGGCTCAACTAGTGTTCCAATCACTTCACTCCTAAACTTCTAAAATTCATACAGAGGATGATCACTAACAAGCTACGACAACAAAGGTACTCGTTAAAAAACAATTAGGCCCTATTAGATTATGAATTATACTATGACTGTAGGTGAAATCCGTACAGGCGTGATAAAACTAAAGAGCTGAAGGTCAAATCTCCTGTTACGGACAAAATCAAAAATTGAAATGAGTAAAGCTAGTCTCAGTTCAGATAAAATTTCCTGGTGCAAGGGTCTCGACTTCGACTTCAGAAGGAGTTGTCGTGTCCATTTAGGACGTTTAGCCTGTGTACAGTCTTTACCAGAAAGAAGTGTTACTCCTCATAGCTGTGTTTCGCGTTCACCGAGGAGCTTGAAGTCTAGATTACTTAAGGTCAAACCCTCTTCACTGAAGATTTTCTCGTCTTCTTTCTGTTTCTTTGGCATATTATTTTCTACATCTCCATGACAGCTTTCGTAGACCTCAATACAATCATCTCGGGAAGAGTTTTGCTGGTTTCCAGTTTCACTCCGTTGAGGTATTACTTCCTCATACACTGTTACATCCTCATACGTTTCGTCAAAGAATTTGCCGTTTCCCAATGCTTGAGAGGGGTCTTTGGAAGATTCTGTGTTACCAAAGTTTTTACTATAGGAATAGTAATGTGTTTTAAAGAAATCTTTTGAGCACATCTCTTCCATTTCTTCCTTTGGAGGGTGCAATTCTGAAGCTATTACATGCCAAGCACTCTTTGGTTGAGGAATAGGCAAATTTGGCCACTCTTCACGAGGGTGATTCCATAACCACAGATCAAAGAGCCAAGACTGTGCAGGTTCCCTTGAAATGTGGGAATAATTATTTAGCCTAGCTGTTAAAAAAAAGCAATAGCTGGGGATACTGGGGATGGACGCTACATGTAGATGGTATGGATTATTAGAAAGTTAATAAAACAATAGAGTTAATGTTCGCGGGCATAAATATGTTT